TAGAAGAATATGTAGGTGGTACTCGTCTGGGGATGATGGGTGAAGCATTGTGGGGAATGGGGATGAGGAGGAAGGTGGAAATCCTTTACGTCCGGGGCATGTGTCAATCGCACTTGGCAAAAATGCTCGTGACGGGAAATGGTCTTAGGTTCAGTAATATCATTTACTATACGAACTCGTCCTGCGACGGCTTCGAGAATTTCTAGGTACTCACCAAGCCAAATTACTGATGAAGTTGATGGGGCTCGAAGAACGTGTGCCTGAATGCGTCCGATATGGTTTTAGATCGGTATATGTGGTATTGTAGTGGGTGATGTCTGTGCCCTTTATGGTGATCTCTTGGCTGGAAAGTCTAAGAGAGATGTCGTTGGTAACCATAAACGAGGTCAGCGGCGTAGCCAGCTCGGATAATTGGCGATTTCAAAATAAATTAATAATGCAGAACACGAATATATTAATATGGACGCCCACCCCCACACACACAATTATCGAGCTGGCTACGCCACTGAATGGGGTGGCCGCTAAACATCAACATCCAAGTCATTTACAACAAGGTCATCGAGATGGAGTGTATGGGAGTTACTTGATACGTCAAGATGGATTTCTCCAATAACGTTCAATGGAATAACACCAGCAGCCTGCGAAGCTGTTTGTTTGGTCTTTTGGATTGTAGCTCTAATTTGCTTGGCAATTGACGACTTGATCATACCGGTTTCCGCTCCAGTGTCAAGGGTAAGATGTACAGTATGGTGGTTATAAACTACTTTCAGGTGTGGGAACTGCTTGGTGCTTACTCTGTAGGCGGTGGATTTGTTCGGTATAGTTATGGGAGAGTGGGTTGTCTTCGTCAGGGTCAGAGTCAGATTGATCAGAGGTGTGGTTCTGCTCACCAGCAACGTGTCGTGTCCGAGACAGATATTGGCGATTCTCATTAGGCAGAAATGGGCACGGGCTTAAGTAATGCTGGAACTGTGATCGTTTTGTTTGCTTGCACAGTGGGCAGCTTTTAGTTGCGTTCTTGTTTTGGCTGGTTTGGGGTTGGCACGTTGTTGAGAAGAGCGTTGGAAGGCAGTGCGAAGAACCTTTGCTTCATTTGTGGCGTGGATTTCCTCAAGAAGGGAGTCAAGAGCCTGGGAAATCTCGGGTTTGAGGCTGGCCAGGGTTTTGGATCTGAGTTCTGTGCCATATCGTTGTTTAACCAAGGCGGGTAGCTCTGTATGAATTAATCGTAACCATGTTAAAATAATCCTGTTTTCAGGAGTTGGTGTTAACTCTTCATCAGTTTGAACATCTTCGCCGTGATGCTCCATTGCTATCAGACTTGAGTATGTTGTCGTCGATGAAACTCGAAAGTCGCTGGTACAAATCTTCAGGGCGTTCGTCAGGCTCTAAACGAATGTTATTGAAATCGAGGAAGTGTGCCTCAGTTGACTGGAAGCCATAATGGGCAAGAATGCCTGCCAAATCCCTTTTATAGACGTTGAATTCTTAGCGATTGTGTTTCGTAAGATAACGGGACAATAGTTGGCTATTTGGCCAAGCATTTACTCTGAGTTAACTTTTGAGCGGCAGTACGTCGGTTTGCTTCGGGAATGTCTTCGCCATCGTTTTCAAGGCCACGCAACGCAATGGAGATGCGGAAGCTTTTCGCAACCAAGTGGCTTCGTCGAGCAAGAATGTAGCGAAGTTTCGGTCTAAGGGTGTATTGAAGGTTTTGTCGCCAGGCTTCGAATGAAGTACCCTAAAAATATTCCTATTGACTTTTTGCTCTTGACTTCGTTTAATCCACTTTATCGGATTGGCTTACTCTGTTTGTAAATTTATAACGTAGAAACGCTGCCACCATGCCAGTAAATAGAAATAACTAAGACGAGAAATTACGATATGACTTCATGTAATATGAAATACAAAACCCAAGAGAGTTACATAAACACACGCTTTATGTAAACATGTGATTATTAATCATGTGATCATTATCATTAACTATTAGCTATTATTAACACAACTTTACACTGTCAGTTATGGCGATGATGATATTTACTAAAAGCGAACTTTGAAATTCCACTTTTTCATAAGGTAGTAGCTAACCAGAAGCTAATCTGTAATTGTGGTAACCAGAAGCTAATCTGTAATGCCCTAACATTATGCCAAGTTGTGTGCTTTTATCATCAAATGCACTATTGTTCTATAATTTTTACCAACCTGCCCCACTAATAAAAGTAATGTATATCATGCTGTGCATGTGCATGTGCATGTGCATGTACATAATCATTTCGATTCGGCACCAATCTATGCATGGAGTGGTAAGTCTACCACCTTAATTTTATTTTGATTTATTACCTCGGGTCGGTACGACACCGAGGTCTTAATAAATTCGGCTCCTATTTTTTTTTTCTTGTTTTTTTTTGTTTTTTTTTTCCATTTGTGTCGAGCTGCGCGCGTAGTCGAAGATCGAAGGGCCTGCGGAGGAGACGACAACTTCCGGTAAATAAGTGTACTTCCGGCAAGCATCGGCCAAAGCGAAACGGAACCCGAAGCTGTCCTTGCACAAAATCCGTCAGAATTGTTGATTTAAAACCAGAAGATGTGATAATTTTGACATACATGTTTAGCTGGACAACTATTCTCGAGTATATGTTGATATAATGTACAATACATCGTATGCATAGCATGGGAATACCACGGCCAACTTTCACTTGTTATCTATTATAATTACTGACCCGAATCAAAAGTAATTATTTTCGGCTGGAAGACTACTGTACGTTGCTGCTTGTCGGGACCGTATGACAATGAACCTATCCAACGTTACACTAGACATTTGTGAGGACATGCATATAGACATAACCATAGGCACTGTAGTGCATTGTGATAGAACAGATTTCAGTTTAATTAATCGCCCTAAATTAAAATCTCCACAAGCGGAGGTCAATTATAGTGTTCTAGCTTACATATTATCATTAATGATAAGGTTTACTCAAATAGCGTATTGGATAAACACGGGAATAGAACTTATGGTGTATTCTGCACATGCGTATATCTAGGATAAAATCCCACAAGCGCAAACGAAACTATTTCTCTATAAAATTGAACTGAAAAGACTCACACTCTCACAGCGACCGTTTCCAACAGTGCTTCAGGCACCCGACGACACCGTATGGGGGGCCTTTAGCACTGTCACCTTCTCATCTTGGGATGTTCACGTTATCGCGCGTACATGTCAGGGTGACGAAGATGCATTATTGCTAATAATGTCTGTGTGCACTGATGCACGCTGCATTATTTTTAATAATGTTGTGTGCTATTTTAACGCGTACATAGAATATGACGCGTATAAACATTTACCCTGAGCCGGAATTTCCCTATACAACCAAAAAGGCCGCTCCCGTTTTTCAGTAGAACGTTAAATGAAAACTTCTCGACATTCGCTGATATAATGCAGAGAGAAAACAATAGGTTTGATGAGGGCCAGTAATTATTGTCAATAAAATATTAAAACGGAGCTTTGATTAACTGATTTACCATTTATACTAGTGAACTATTAAACTATCGTGATTTACACAATTTTTGGATATTTACCAGACGATCCCCAATCCACTGACCCGAGGTTAACGCCGAGTCGGCGTCTTGTTTATATCTGTTTCAGATCTAAGGGCTGTTTATGTGAGTCGGGTTAATCTGGATAACCCGGCTGATTCGTGTAACGAAATTTTTTCCTTTGTGAAAAAAGAAGACTTGAATGAACTTAAAGACATGTTCGAAGCTGCTCTAAGATATATGAAAGGAATTAGTCAGCCGGGCTAGCCCGTCTCATATATACATTACAGCTTCTAGTGTACAGTACACTACATTTCCTTGGTGTCAACCAGTATAGTACAGTACATTTCCTTCAAAATCAACCATTTTCATGATATTAGCCATAGAAATGATCAGATTAGCACATAACTTTGCTAGAGAATATAGTCAGAACTTTCCTTTTGGATGGACATCAAAGTTAATATACTTTATATAAGAAAGACTATCTGTTAACTCGAACCCTAGGCTAAACGAATCTTGCTCTGCAGTGCTCAATTCTAATAAAATCTTGCATTTTTAAGACTGTTATTTACAGTGTACAATATACCTTGAGAGGCATATCATATCGATTTCGTATATTTCTTTTAGCTGAATTTGTTGGCCAAGGATATAACATTATTGTGCACAAATCCGTTCCTGCTCAGATTATGACGTTCTCAGCTGTAGATGATACAAAGTTTGGCTTTAGAATTCCTGCTTGTGCTCAAGTCGGCAAAGTCAATGAAAGTCGGGAGTACCAAATGGACTTTAAATCGGATGAATCATACATGGCGTCTAGATTGAAAAACCTCGGCCTAAATGTTGACCTGGCACCGACTATATTAAGTATGGTCCCCCAATTCGGAGTCAGTAAAAGTTGGAAGAATGATAGCAATGGCCAATCTACCAAAACTACAAAGTCATCATTGACAGAGTATCGCATAGGCAAGATAAATATTGGAAATTTTGAATCGGACGAGATCTCGTTCACCAAAGATTTCTTGTCTGCTGTTGGAGAATTACCCGATCGAGACATAAAGGAAGAAAAGAACAAACAGGAATTAAAACAATTTTTTAATCGTTTTGGTCATTTTGTGGTTACCTCGGCTTATGTTGGTGGAGCAGTTGAAGTAAAAACCTGTGGTGAAAGTTTAGAAAGAACGAATGATGATAAAGAGTCTATAGATGGATCTGCTGGTGCTAAATGTTATGGCGTTATCGGATTTAAAGCGAGCGGCAAATACCAACCATCGACCAAAAGCGCAAAGAATGCTGTCTTAAACACAACAGAAACACGATGGCAAGGAGGACGAAGTGACCTTCACACCAAAAGCACACTACAATCTGAAGAAAAAATGCTGATGTGGAAGGCGTCTCTCTCCAAAGAGCCAACCTTATTGACAACCGAATTGAGTCTAGAGCCTATTTCGTCAGTGGTCGCCATCATCGATAAAACGAAAGGAAAAGTTTGCTACCAAGCATTATGTAATCTTTTTCAGGATATTGACCTTTACCCCGTTTGTAATCGGCAGGACAAACTTGCCTTAGACGCAAAAAGTAAAATGCACGAAGACGAGCAAGAGAAACTTAGGAAAGAATCGAACTTGAGGATAAAATCAACAAAGGACCCTGATACGGAGGGATGGTGGGAAACTATTACTGGGTACGCCGGGTACATAGTTGGTGGAGTGGTAGTTGTTATTTTGGCTGGAATCGTAACTGCTGTATTTTATAGACGTTAGTTTTAAGCTGCACTTTCTGTTGAATTGGACATTTACGTACAGTGTGCGCAGGGACAAGCAGCTATAATTTTACAATTTAGCTTTTTCAACACTACTTCTTCATATATATATATTTATATACAGCTATTTCGATTAGGGTTGTCCACGAGCAAAGCGGAAAAGTCGAATACGAGCGCGAAAGGCTGCTGGAAATCGCTAACAAATTAATGAATTTTCAAAGCGATTCCCAGCAGCCTTTCGCGCTCGTATTCGACTTTTCCGCTTTGCTCGTGGACAACCTTAATTGAAACAGCTGTATGCGTAAATGTATTGAGGCAATCGAAATTCAAAAACACTCAGGGGAGATAATGAATGGTTGTATTGGGAGAGCGATTAATTTATAACTATTGTGTTTATATAACAATAGTTATATAAGCATGTGTATAGAACCATATCTTTTGTTGTTTTTAAAATTGGAAATTTTAGTCATAGTGAACATGTAAATATTAACATTTGTCAGTGATTAGATATATAAGGAACCGAATATTACTTGTAGTTAGTCCGCTGAAGAAGCCTTAACCGGAGAAATATATATATATATATATATATATATATATATATATATATATATATATATATATATATATATATATATATATATATATATATATATATATATATATAAGAAAAGTTTTCAACGAAATACAAATGAATTTGCAGTCAACAAGCACTTACTATACTATACTAAACATCTGCATAATATATCTGAGCTTTCCTGTGAGATATGCCGGTTCTAAAACCATTTCTTTCACTTCGTCTTCGAGTTGTAAAACAAAAAAATTTCAAATTTTCAAGGCCAAGCGAGCGGTGTTTTGCCGAACAAATTGTCAAGACATTGTAACAGAGGATATTAATTATTGCTTCAGTTAATGGCTATAAGACTATATTATAAAACAATTATACCATTCGCTCTCGTCGTATATGGCTGATAGCCGACTCGGTGCTACGCACCTCGTTGGCTATCAGCTCATATACGACTCGAGCTCATGGTATAATTGTTAAATATATATATATATATATATATATATATATATATATATATATATATATATATATATATATATATATATATATATATATATATAACATGTAAAATGGCCACTTTAAACAAACGAAATGAGTTAGTGTCTGCATGTAGGCATAATAAAAAATTCCTTTTAAATAACATTTAAAAAGCTAGACATTTAAATATACCGCGGTGTGTTAATCTTTCCGCGTCCTGTCAGCTTATCACATAACATGTTAATTAAATCGCGTGGTTTGTAAATAGGATTAAGTTTTTAAAGTCTCATCCACTTGTATACATATATAACCTTGTAAATTTTAGTCTATAGTCATTAGGTCAATTTATCTGAAGAG